CTGTTTAGGAAAGATGGAAACAGGTAAAGGTGATGGTTAACAGTGCAGTAGATTGTTAAAAAAAATAAAGTGATAGAGTGAGTAAAACAGAATCTGTTACGGTCAAATTCACTTCAGGGAAAGATAGTGTTAGGGCTTGTCACCGGTTGGGTTTGCCTAGGGACAGAGGTCATTCTACAAAATACTGCCATGAATTGTATGAACATGGGAAATGAGCTCAGATGTGGGTTGAAGGGCAAATACTACTAAGCATGGTAGACCCTATTCCTGAAAATGAGAGCCAACAGTTACTTTTCAGCAGATAGTCAGTAAACTAATAAGAGATGAAGCTATTTTAGACTTGACTTTCCTATGTTGAGAGGAGATTGCAGAAGAGATGTTTGTAGAAAACAAACTTGGGTCAAGTGATCCTGAACTGATTCCATTTAAATTAAATGGAACAATAAGCAAAAGTTACCAACTAAGGTTTTTAATTTCCAAAGGATAAACATTGTGAAATAAAGGTCCTGAACTCTTCAATCCAGGCCATTGGAGCGTGTAGGGGGAACATGGGGGTACATGCACCCACCGAGTGCGCTGGTGTATCCCTTGATGTCTGTGCTCACTGCTTAGGTGATGGGCGGGGGGGGAAGGTGGGAGTGCTGGTACGCACGCTTCCTCCTCCCCCCTCCCCGCAAGCAAGGTAAAACATTTTTAGGGAAGGTTTTCACAACTAACTAGATGAGTAACCACCTCAAAAAGGGTGTTTGGGGTAAGCAGACAGTATACAAGAAATAGAAAAGTAGGTTGGTGATCAAAGAAAGCCATGTCTTGGAGGTCAGCAAGGGAAGATATAAAGTAAGAATTGCCAAAAGTAACAAAGCTAGAACTTGCAAAATAAATTAAATAGCAAAAATCTCTTCAGCCATATAAATAAAAAGAGAGAGAATGAATCAGGCTGCTATGACATAATTCTGGTTTAGAGATTAAAGAAAATCTCACAATAGGGCCAAAAACCTAAATTGATGCTGTGCCTCAAATTTAAATAAGAACGATGACATGGAACACATGCAAAGGCAGGATAGCTCATGGAAATGAAAAATACTACATCTGAAGTAGAAACAAAAATAAAAGAGCTCCAGTACACATGACTCGGAGGGTGTGGACAGACTAGGGAAATCTGCACGTCAGAGTTCTAAAATAAGTAACACATGAAATAAGTAGGAAAGTTTTGCAATGAAGATATCATAGGCAGGAGTGGTAGCATGTGACTGGAGATTAGCAATGTACTACCTATACTTAATGGTAAGAGGTGATCTAAGCAGCTAGAGTCTCATTAATTTGAGTTTACAGTATACAAGGTGTTTGAACAGATTTTAAAGGAAAGAATAAGTAAAACATATGGCGACAAATGGGGTAAAATGCAGCATGAGTGTACCGAAGTTAAATTTGCTAGATGTATTGGATATCTCTTTGATAAAATAACTATTTTTTTTGGATATCAATTCTAGTATTCTCTCGCCAGAAGTGAACATTAGGTGCTTCTGTTGCCTCTCTTGGTTGCAGTATGAGGCTGCTGAAATTTGCAATGTATTTGAAATTTTGCAGCTGCATGTTATGCATAGAAACTTTGAGAAATGAAAAACACTATTCTAAAGTTTCTCAGGTTTCTATTACTATAAAGCATTGAAGGACAAGGATATTGGAAATGGAGGACCTGATTTGTAAATAGAAGATGCCATCCACTGCACTTCAGCATGTGGTTAGAAGGAACTTTTGACATGTTTTCAAGCGATGCTGGCTTGGAAACAATTCAGGAAGGAATACTTTCAACTGGGGGACATATCTCCAGCTTCTGTGACAGTGCCCAGCTGGAACATTTCAAATTACTGCAGCTGTATGCAGCATATGGCTTTCAAGTTAGGAGGCCCTACTATGGGTGGAAGATGTCTTCTGATGGGTGAGAGGGGAAGCAGCGGGGGATCGTCAGCTCCCTCCCCTGCTGGGAGTTTGACTGTCCATTCCAAATCCTCTCTTCCTTTCCTTTCTCTTCCACCCAAGTAGAGGGAGTTGGGGACAAAGAGCCCAGCAGCAGTGGTATCAGACCTCCAAGTTTAGGAGTGGTCAGGATTCATAGATTCATAGATTAAGGGTCGGAAGGGA